TGATCACACAGGCTGGTGTTCTTCTTCCATGTGGGCTTTGTCGCTTCTCTGCTGGATAGCCTCTTGTTTGACTACAAGTCTTTAAGACCCCAGACGCTGTATCTTTTGATAGCTGGGCACCATCAGCTTTCTTCACCACATTTGCTTATGCACCCATTTTGTCCTCAGCAATCGTGTTGGGAAGGTATCATATAATGCCACATTATTAGAACAGACTGTTCTTGTACTGAGGTAAGATTTAAGTAGAGGCCCAAAGTCCATCTGTTTCCTGGTTTCATTTGCATATATACACATACATAAACAAAACATCTATATATATTTACCTGCATACATATCTATATACACCTATATATTTTTTTCTTTCTTCATTCCTCCTACCCCACTATTGTATTTACCCATTGTTCACCTTTCAGTAATTCCTCTCAGATACAATGATCGATCACAACTAGAAAAGCTATACCCTCCTTGCCATCCATTTTAGCATCCTTGTTTTTATACTCTGAAGAGGTCTTGTGCAGGAGGTTTACCCAAGGCAAAACCTCTTTTGATCTCTTGACTGCTGCATTTTTGAGACTTGATTGTGGACTCGAGACAAAATCCTTGACAACTTCAACCTTTTCTCCATTTAGCAGGGTGTTACTTACCCGTTGGTCCCGTTGTGGAGATTGTGGTCTTGCTCTGATTGACAGTCCGTATTTAGACTGCAGTCCTTGGTCTTCCTCAGCAGGTGCCTGGTGCTGCATTATTCTGAATCGTGGTTCTCCATCTTCCCCAGGCCGCCACCCTCTAATTCAGTTCCTCGTGTCATGGTGACCCCCAACCATAAAATTATTTTTGTTGCTACTTCATAACTAGTTTTGCTACTGTTATGAATTGGGCGACCCCTGTAAAAGGGACCTTTGGCCCCCCCAAAGGGGTCACCACCCACAGGTTGAGAACTGCTGTTCTAAATAGAATCCAGCTTCTCTCATGATCTGCTCAGCATACAGATTGACTAAGTATGGTGAGAAGATACAAGTCTGACGCACACCTTTTCTGATTTTAAGCCATGCGGTGTGATCTTGTTCTGTTTGCACAATGGCCTCTTGATCCATGTACACGTTGCACAGGAGCACACTGTAGTGTTCTGGAATTCCCTTTCTTCTCCAGGCTACCCAGAGTTTATGATCCACATACTCTGCAACGGCACCGCAGCGCCAGCAAAGCACAAGTAAATCTCTCTCTGGTTATTCTCTGTTTTGAGCCAAGATGCATCTGACACCAGCAGTGATGGCCCTTGTTCCACATCCTTTTCTGAGTCCAGCCTGAACCTCTGTCAGCTCCCTCTCAGTGGACTGCTGTGGTTGGGTGACGACCTGCAACGTTGTACGTGCGTGTGATCTCAGTGATACTGTCCTACCGTTTGAGCATTCTGTTGGGTCACCTTTCTTTAGAATGAGTACAAACATGGACCTTTTTCAGTCTGTTGGCCAAGTAGCTGTCTTCCAGATTTCCTGGCATAGACAAGTAAAGAATAATTCTTAAGGATAGCTCCCAAATTCAGCTCAGCATCTCCAGGATTGCTGGCAGGTTAAGTCCAAGAAGCACTTCATGGGCTCTGCAAGGTCCTGTGATCGCATCTCCCAGCAGCCATCGCCGAGTGGCCTGGAGCCCCTGAGATGCAGAGGAGCTCGGCCTGGCCAACATCAGCATAGCCCTCGTCCCCCCACCCCTGACTCAGGCCTTTCTGTGAGCCCTCCCTTACTGTGGCCAAGCACCTGTGAGCAGCCCCTTTCCCGTTAATGTGATGCAGTGGACGCACAGCAGGGCTCACCAGCTGTGAACCGGGCCTTCAACCAGTTCACTGGGCTTTGACTACCACCCCCTTCTCCCTGGAATTCAGCTTTCTAGGCCTGATGTATATATTGAATCTGAGTCTGCATGTTGACAGGATCCCCGGGTAAGTCTTAGGTACACATATATACTTAAGAATCAGCTGGAGATCATTAAGCATCACCAGGAGAATCCTATGAAAAGGCAGATTCTGATTCTGTGAGTGTATTGGGGGTGGAAAGGCAAATTCTCAGCAAAGGGCCATACCAGAATGAGCCTGCTCAAAGCCTTGCTTTTCACAAGCCTTGAGCCCATGAAGTGGTAGTAATTACCATAAAAAAAGACTGAACTGGGTGCAGGTCTGCAGATCAGTGTTTCATTCCACAGGTCATACACAGGTTGCTCCATCTCACACTGCAGCGCCCTGCTGATGTTGTCATTCCTCCTCCTCTACTCCCTCTGAGCTCTGCCCGTTGTCCCGCAGCCATGTGGTAATGATCTTAACAACTCAGTGCCTTTTTGCTATGTGGCAGTGCAGGCTAGGGAGGACTTGCAGGTCCATGAGCCCAATACCAGGATCTGGTGGGCGGGGCTGGGATGATTAGTCCACCTTACAGCTGTGGAAACGGCTTTGGAGGAGGAGGGAGGGGATCATGTCATCAAGATTCATGGAACCCCTGCTCGCAGGCACGCAAGGACGGGACCAGGAAACACTGGCTCCTGTAGGCTCCCCGAGGCTTCCTTACCCCAGCCCGTGGGCCTCTGTCTGCCCTCTCCTGGGGGTGGCTGTGAGTTCTGCTCACTCCTCT